GCGGCGTGTCAGCTTAATGTGGGAGGAAAGCCCGAAGTGATGCAGGTCTCTGACGTTTACCACTTCGGTGAAACCCACAAACACGGGTATGGTGCTGACAAACCTAGAAACATAATCGGGGCGAACCGGGATTCGAACCCACAATCATAGGTTTCTGGCGTGCCCAAGGGACGCAACTCTGCACAGCGAATCGTGGCGCCTTAGACGATTGGGCCACCCGTGCCCCCGTGAACAGGTATTTAAACATTATCAAACCGAATGAATGTACCCTGTCATACATCAGTTAACACCAGTTCAGTTTATTGTAAAAAAAATCAAATCCATATATTCTCCCCAAAAGGACTTTGTGAGTGTCAAGTAACAATATTTATAATATTTATAGCACATCAAAACGCTTGATGATTGATGACATATTGCAACAGCGACACGTGGCCAATATAAAGACACTACACGGAAAATGACAATGTGAAGATCATGGGAACTCTAAAGGTCTATCAGATTTTATCCGAATAGCGTTGAGTTGTTACGGTTCCTGGCACCAGGTTTGTTCTACCGGTTTGAGTGAGAACTGTCCACATCATTATGCTGTCACCGTCAACCATGTTGGCTCTCCCATTAGTTACGTGCAACTTAAATCACGTTCTCAAAAATGTACTCATACTGTATATGGATTAAACCAAAGTAGAAAAATGGAATTATATGGGGAAACCGGAAGTCATTTAATAGATACGTATGTGTACGTTTTACAAGCAGATAAACATGGTTTAGTCGGCATATTATTTTTTTTGCATATGATGTTTATTTAAAATAATTGGTGCAAAATCAGACCCGATTCTGTTGACTTTTTGGGACCTGAAACATTTGGATGTTATTGAAAAGGTACATGTTTGTGCATATCAATAGTTCTGGGACGTACAATCTAGCACGCTGAAGGCATGGGTATATGATGAATGTGGAACAGTTCCCATGTATCGCTCAAGTTATTACTTGGTTTATGCATGTCATCGTATCCCAATTGAGTAAATCAAAGCTCCTGAAGTCGTACATATGGGTCGGGCGCTATGGTCCTAATCAGTCACCATATATAAACAACAGCAAGACTTTCCATTTTCAGCTTCCAGCACATATTGACTGATGGCATACTTTAAATTGTTTCTTTGTTTATATACTCACACGCAAAAGTAACGCAAGTGGTTTTAAACAAATAGTTAACAAACACAGAACCATAAATTGATACGAGTTTTAGCATGTAGTGAAGCCTGATGGTGGTATCAATATTTCTGGTTGCAATTTGGAAGCCCAGAGTAAAAACGCAAAATAAAAAACGAATCGCCAAAACGCACCATTTCAATGAATATGTGGGTATCATGCACCCATTTCTCGCGAAATCGAAATGCACGAACTGTCACGAACTGTAGTGGGTATAAAACTGTGGCCGATTCTTGGGCCTACCACTCCTTGGTCAACAATGCCACGCCTAACTCAAATTCAGAGAAACCAGGCTATCGGACGTTTGGAAGCTGGAGAGTCTGTCCAAGATGTTGCCCGTCATTTCGACGTTAATATAACCACAATTTACCGTCTCCTGCAGCGATACAATGCTACACAGACCACAGATGACCTTCCTCGGAGCGGTCGTCCTAGGGTCACCACACCTTGACAAGATCGGCAGATTACCCGTTAACACCAGCGACATCCGTTCCTAACTGTAAGTGAAAGTGCTCGACAGATCATAGGAACACATAACCGACACATTAGCCGGGACACTGTGATCCGACGTCTCCGTTCCAACAACCTCAGATGTCGCCAACCAGCACGTCGTCCTGTTCTCCAACCACGGCATCGACAAGCAAGACTTCAGTGGGCACAGGGTCATCACAATTGGCGTCATCGTGAGTGGAGGCGTGTCATCTTCTCTGATGAAAGTCGCTTTTGTGTCTCCCATGCAGACGGAAGAGTCAGAATTTGGCGGCGTCGAGGTGGTTTCGGCGGTTTCGCTGACAGAAACGTTGTGGAAAGGGATTCAGTCCCTACAACTGCCGATGAACTACGCACAGCTGTTCTGGATGTGTGCAGGAGGATCACAAATCGTCTGATCCACTCAATGTACAGGAGATGTGTGGCAGTGATCAATGCTAATGGTGGTCACACCAGGTATTGACTGACATTTTTGGTATTGACCCGAAACTCTGTAAGCCCTTAACATTTAAAAAATACAATTATGTCATCTGCCTTTTAATCCATTAAACTGTCTTCAGTCAAATGTGTGTCAATCTTGCCCTATTAGTATTTCTTGTCTTTACTGTTGAAAATACATAACATGTATACTGCATACTCGACTTGCGTTTCTTTTGCGTGTGAGTATATTATGCAGTACACCAGTCAGGCAAACGTGGCTTTAAAGTCAAAGGGAGATAATTGAACAACTGTGTAGTGCCCTGTTGCAGATCGTACAGGTGTATTGATTGACGCTTAAAGTAAATTAACATGTCGTTTTAAGTTTCAACAAAATCAATAAATGCGCTATCGTGTCACTGGATGTTAAAATCCATCGATCATTTGTTTGTCTGGTGTGTTTACAGGCCGTGTCGAATGGCAAGAATACTGCAGTTTGGCATCAGGCAACAAACATTTACTTTTTATGCAAGATTTGTGAGTGGCGGGTGCTGCCGGTAGAGCAGGTCATGCTTACTATTACCTTATGTCATTACTGGTTGCCGGTGATCCATTCGTACAAGACCCGTAAAGATCCGGGGTAGAATTGGTCTTCAGCAACCCATGCTTGCCGTAAAAGGCGACTATGCTTCTCGTAAGATGCGACTAACGGGATCGGGTGGTCAAGCTCGCTGACTTGGTTGATGCATGTCATCGATCCCAATTGCGTAGATCGATGCTCATAATATGAATCACTGGATTGTCTGGTAAAGACTCGATTCTTTACAGACCGCCGTCATACAGCGGGAATATTGCTGAGTGCGGCGTTAAACAACCAATCAACCTGAATCGGAATAGCCAAGCCAATACTGGACAATTCGGCCAAGAAGTTTAACTTAAGCATCGGGTATATCGATGATCAACTATCGTTCAATAACCATCAAATAGCCAATTTCCCTTCAACGGATCTACCCACCTGATCTAGAAGTAAAGGTACCCGTGAAGATCCGGGGTAGTATAGGCCTTCTGCAACCCATGCTTTCCGTAAAAGGCGACTATGCTTGTCGTAAAAGGCGATTAACGGGATCAGGTGGTCAGGCTAGCTGACTTGGTTGATGCATGTCATCGTATCCCAATTGCGTTGATCGATGTCAGTCACTGGAATGTCTGGTCCGGATCGATTATTTCCAGACCGCCGTCATATAACTGGAATATTGCTGAGTGCGGCGTAGAACAACAAACCAACATAAGTAAAGGAGACCAGCGAGACCGCCTCGTCCGTTTCATATTAAGTTCAATCTATGCATAAAGATTCAAGAGTGACTACAACACTCAAGACTGTATGACAAGAGGGATGGCCTCATCTTTCCAATAGTCAACTTACCCTTTATATCGAGCAATTTTCCAGCAGCTACAGCCTTTGACGTCTACATTTCACAACTTTTGTGGTAAAATCCATCATGTTCTTTCTACGAAGCTTTCAAAGAGCGTTGAACGACTCATAAGTTGTTTTTAGAGCATACAAAATCGCTGATAAGAGGCCATTCTATGTTTGCGATGATACTTTGTGCATGTGTTTATGTTTGTTTGTTTGTTATTTAACACCGCAATATTCCAGCTATATGACGGAGGTCTGTAAATAATCGAGTCTGAACCAGATAATCCAGTGATTGACAACATGAGCATCGATCAAACCATTTGGGATCGATGACATGCATCAACCAAGTCAGCGAGTCTGACCACCCGATCCCGTTAGTCGCCTTTTACGACAAGCATAGTCGCCTCTTACGGCAAGCGTGGGTTGCTGAAGACGTATTCTACCCTAGATCTTCACGGGCCACGTGTAAGTAAAGTTCCATGCATGATTCTGCTTCAGTCTCTCACTTACTGTTACAGTGTTCTATCATTGTGATTATTATTTCATTTTCAGCACTCCTTAATGAATATATTTTGTGGTCACTTTGAAATATTTTTGGTTTTGGTTACATGCTATTTTGGGGTTCAGATTGTTTCAAAGTTTTCCATTCATTCTTACTATTATAAAAAGCAACATACACCTTTCGCCCTAAATCCAACTAAATTGGCGCCGTACGTTAAAAAAACTACACATTGCAGTGAATTAAGCATTATCGCAAAATGTTTTCATTTTGGAAGTATATTGTTTCGTATTGTGAAGAAAAAATCCGTATACCGTCAACCCAGCTTAATGTGGGGGGAAAGGCCGAAGTGATGCAGGTCTCAGACGTTTACCACTTCGGTGAAACCCACGAGCACGGGTATGGTGCTGACAAACCTAGAAACATAATCGGGGCGAACCGGGATTCGAACCCACGATAATAGGTTTCTGGCGTGCCCAAGGGACGCAACTCTGCACAGCGAATCGCGGCGCCTTAGACGACTGGGCCACCCGTGCCCCCGGTTGTATTTTGAAACAATTACGGTGTATGATTATCAGCATAAACCGTTTAATGCGTGTTTATGCGCGTGACAGACTTAATACTGCCACAGGCCTGGAGGTAGCCTAGTCGATACATATGCTTGTCGGCTTCGATTTCCCATTGGATACAAGATAAGCTTGTCAATTCTTGGTGTTCCTTGTCGTGACATTGCTTTGAATATTACTAAAACGGACCTGACAGAATAGCAAACTAGCACTATCAGTGTATATACAAATACATACGTTGAAGATGTAACCTAATTCTGAACGATGTATCAATGATTGATACTCTACATCACAGAGGAATGTAATTGTCATAAATCAATCAGTCAATCAATCAATCAATAAATCAATAAATAAATCAATAAATAAATCAATATAGGCTTGATGGATAACAACAACGCTTGACTGTGTAGCGCTAGTGTTTATTGAACAGAAATATACGAAGTATAGCTTACAAAAGTATTTGTCAAATATATGTTGGAATCAAGTTGATAAATCACTAATACACAGAGTGGAAAATATCCCAACTTTAATTAAACTATTGTATATTTCACAAGATTTGCAAAGAAAACAACGTTTAACAAGCCGAAAAGGCAAACTTTATGCACGTTCAAACATCATAAATTATAATCTAATATCACAGCTGGTGACGACGTTATGACATGGAAAAAGTCATGGTAACAAACAACGATCATATAGATCACAAGTTAATGAGTATCAAAAGTAATTTTTATAAATAAGTGGCCTAATTTGTTGAAATTATTTTTGCCGAGACATAGATTTATCCTTCTGGGTTTATTTATTTATTTGCATTTCGCCCATTAACGGTCAGCTTGAGACTTCCATCTTGTGAAGAAGTAGAAATTTCAGTGTACAAGAAACCCAATGATAATCGGTTTTAACAACAACTTCTACCATAATATGTATTCACTGGTTATATTACTTAATACTTCTTACACGTGATATTTAAAGCACGACTATATAGTAATAAAATGTATTCACTCGGCGACACAAGAACACCAATGAACCTAAGAACCGTGCAAATTTTATAAGGGAGATAACTCTTTTGACCGACAGTTACAGTGGCTTAAATCACATGTAAACAATTTGATTTTTATAATACAAAGCACTAAGGTGACATTTTACGCAAAGCGGGTCTAAGACAAAATATGTCTGCAGAACCTAAACATTCATGATTATCCAAAATCGATTTTGGTAGGTTTCAACTATTCTCACAGAAAGTACATGCCTTTTAAATGATCACAACTTGTCTAAATGACTTGCAGATAAAATGTGACCTCCTTATATGTGGACTTCGTACACAATATTTACAGAAAAAGTAGATATGTATGTAAGTATGTACACAAACAAATACTACAATATATAAGTGCAGACTACCAGACATGAACTGTTCAAATACGTTAACATTACACTATTGTTGTGAACACATATAAACGTTCATAAATATCCATCAATAACAGTTTTGATCAAAGAAAATATATCATGTGTATACAAGAATAAATGGGTGGTAGATGTTACTGAAAGTGGTAAATAGTATAAGTTGTCATATCACAGTCCAGTCAGTCAGTTAAACTTTAAAATTTATGAATGTCCCAAAACACATGGACGCATTTCACCATGACTACCAGCAGTAATCACTGTTGTGTTTTAAAACACTTTTTATTTATAGATTTGATGCATCCACATGTGTAGGATTTTGTGTCCATCATCAGTACTTGTAGGCAGGCTTGACACTGGCATTGAATGCTGCTGCCAGATCCATCTTCATTTGCATTTTCCGGTCATGGGCTGAAACACATCCATACATAATGTTAAGAATAATATAGATATCAGGGATCAAGGATAACAGTGATGTATCGAATTTTTTCCAATTTTATCGGATGGTGTCCTTGCAGTGATTGCACATGTAAGATATGTGTAATTAAATTAAATTAAACAGAATGTTCACGATCGAAACAATCTAAGTTGTACTGAAATAGGTATGCATTTATCAAGGTTGATAGACAGTGTGTGTGTATGCGTGCGTGTGTGTGTGTGTGTGCGTGAGTGCGTGCGTGTGTCGCTGCTTGTACTAGTCTTTCCATTTTTATAGTGTTACCCAACTGATACACCATGCCGCAGTTTAACACTACTGACACTGAGTTGACCAGTCCTTTCGTGCATTTGTTTAACAAACACCCTGAGAGTCAAGTTGGATTTCGTAATGGCTATTCTAGAATTGATAACACTTTTACACTACAATCACTATTTCTGAAATATTTATCCAAATCCAGGGGTAGATTTTATTGTTTATTTGACTTTCATAAAGCTTTTCATTCTATCAATAGAGATCTTTTATGATATTTGTTAGCTTAACAAGATATTAAAGGCAAAATGCTGAATATGATTCATGATACGTATTCTAAGATAAAAGCAGCTGTTAAAATATAATATGTTAGCATTTCCGAATATCTTGATTGTTTAAGCGGTGTCGTCAAGGTTGTATTCCAGTCCATGTCCATGTTTTAGACTTGCATTTATTACTATATGCAGATGATTTGTGTCTGTTTTCTGAAAGTGTTATTGGTTTGTAAATAATATACATATATAATGTAAACTGTGTTCAAAGTGGGGCTTGAACGTTAATTACCTTACCACTATAAGCCAATACGCTGTGGCATAACTGAAATACCGTTCAACCCAATGTATGTAATGTATCATGAAGCTTACCGTCTCCTAACCCAAAGTTCCCAGCAGCGTACGGTTCGTCAGTATTATCGTACAGCCCTGGTCCAGGTTTAGTGGTGTCGAGTCCTGTGGGTTCCTTCTTCCCAGTGATAAGTGTCTTAGCTGAATCCCACATGTATGCAAACAGTTCAATTTCCTTGTAGTTAAGATTCTTTGGATCATCTCCGACCAAAGACATGGTGTCCAGCAGGATTGTCATGAAGATGTTGGACAGAGCAAAGACGACAATAAGGATGAACGAGACGAAGTAGATGAGAGATATCCAAGAGTCGCTGACAGGCACGTTGGTGTTTCTAAAGCCTGCGTGTCCAAGCACAGCAGAAAATAGGGTTTCCATGGTGGTGATAAAGTCTTTGTAGGCCAAGGCGTTAGAACCGAAGACGATTTGACCCAGGAAACCATAAGCAGACAAAATAAGAAGGATGTAGAAGAAAAACCCTGGCAGTGTCTTTGAACTCTCCTTCAAAACAAGGTATACAATTTGAGTGACTCTGGAATAACCCATGACTCTCAGCAGCCGGAGTGTTGCAATGCCCACCAGGAAACCAAGGGCGTACACGAAGAGGTTGTCCCATACTGCGATGTGGTAGAAGTTGATGAAGACTCGGTCGTTTTCTTTGAACAAGGCCATGGCTTCATTCGTGTAAGTGAGACGAATGAAGTACAAGATAACAGCAATAAAGGAAATGATAACACTGGCCAGCTCAACGACGTTCCAGAAGCTCTTGAAGAAGCACCATCGTTCTTTCATTAGTTTGAAGGAGATGTATCCCAGCCAGAGGATCGTGAAGATGAAGAAGACGATTTCGCAGAAGAGTATGTATTTTCCAACTGTTCCAATATGGTTGAAGCTTCTGAACGGAAATACATTTGTGAATTCAAGGACACCGCCACTCTCAGGAAACTCGGCCAGGATGCTCACATAGCAGAACATGTTTTTGTTGGCGTTGTAAAGGGTGAATTCCAAGAATACACCTCGAGTATTTCTATCAATCCATCGACTTTCAAACAGTTCCTGGTAGGCCATTTCAGCAACTTGTCGATTTATGTCAAGTTCAGCTATGTAGCCTCCCCCGCCATAGACTGCCCTCTGGCCTGTGATGGGAAGGCCCCAGATATCTAAAGCTGATACAAAAGTCCATGCAGCATTGGTGACAGCAAGAGCTTCATTTTCAGGGCATTTAGATTGTTGCCGCCACCTTTTGCAGAAGTCTCTGTTTTCTTCCGTTGCGAGGTCGTATTCAGGGTAGCACTGTGTCTTTCCAACAAACGGTATTGTACAAGTTTCTGAAATGGAGTTAAAAAGTTTCTTCAGGTTTAGATTAAACAATGAAAAAATCGTAATTTGATAAGATCATACTTGCATTAAACTCACTGTTACAATGCAGTTTAACGTTTATTACGCAACCACTACTTAAGTCTTTGTGTACGTTCCCTTCACACTATCTCTCCTACCATGTGCCTAACGTTCGAGTATACTTACTCTCTGCCTGTCTCACTTGACGGAGTCGAGGTGCACCAACACGGTAGTTACTGAGATCACCGATCCTTAATCTCATGTTTGGTGTAAGGCGGGATCCATTGAAGTTATTCGTAGGGAAAAGGTTAGGGATGACAGTTTCGTCGAGCCATTTGAAGTAGTGCGCTGATGTGTTTACCTGCGTTAGCATCCATATTTAGAAACACGTTTGTAATAGAACATCGATGAAAATATTATATTACTGGGTTATCCTAACTATTGTAAATTTACTGTTGCACTGATGCAAAATTAAATTGTGAAGTATCTATGAGAAAGTTATCATTATTCACTAAGTGTTATTATAGAGTTCAAATAATAATATTTGGACTCAGAAACTATGTGCCATCTCTACGATGCATTCAACACAACATTTGAGTCCATTTGATGTTACTCCCCGGTCTCTTGTTGATTTACAAACATCGGAACAGGAGATCTCATTTAACCTTGAATTTTGATCAGATTGTTTCACCACAATATTGTGATTGACTAACTCGTCAGCATATGTTCCATAACACTATTAGTTGAACTGACATTATCTTTATGTCAACATACATGTTCCAATGTTATAGCCGGTTTGAATGGTTCCATGAAGGTGTTCTTGATGTTCTGATGCAGAAGGAACCCGTGGGGGTCTCTGTTGCTGTAGCTGATGCTGGCGAGAAGCCACAGGAAGAAACTGTTAGCGAGCAGTTCCTGAATTGCCTTCCTAATCGTATTCCGGCGCCGACATTGCAATTTCGCACGTTGGAGTTCCTCTTCTGAGAATGGACTGCGGTAGTCCAGTCGAGCCCGCCCTAAAGAACACAAACACTTCCCTTGGTTTCTAGCACTTTCTTGTCACATTTTTGTACTAAAATTACCTAGATTTGTTTTGTCACTGATGCTATTTAGACATTAAAACACCTGATTATATTGAATTCTGCGGAACCTTTACTCATTTAGAAAATATGGTCATGACAGTATTTTGAAATACCATATGAACGAGTGTCAGTTGCCATCCCTCAAGATAATTGTCAAACCAATATTTTAACAACAAATAAACAATTGTGGACTGAAATATTTAGTATGCTGTCTATACCTGATCCAATGAAGAAGTGCTGTGTTTGGTTATTGAATGAATCAACATATTTCGGATAACATATATGACAAATATGTAAACATATTATGAAAATAACTATATGAGAGGAATATCGTACCCTCTCCGTGCTGGCCATTCTCTCTGTTCATCCTGCCAATGTGGTTGAGGTCAAAGTGAGATGGTTTGCTTGCCTTGAGTGTCTTCAGCAATATGGCAAACAGAATCGCCAGCACCAGAACCTGTAGACACATGTAATGTTGATGTTACTTACAGTCTGGAATATGTCAAAAATAAAAAATAATTTCAACTTGTATTTTGTTATTTTGTTGCCAATATCATGGCGGGGGACACCAGAAATGGGCTTCAGACATTGTACCCATGTCGGGAATCGAACATGGGTCTTTAGCGTGACGAGCTGTAACCACTAGGCCACCCGACCGCCCTCAAGTTAAGTTTAGCTTCATGAGATTAAACCCATTGGATAACATTTGAATAAATCATACACACATTCATACCAGACAGCAAACAAAACAGGCTGATTCCCATTGCACTACTAACCTTCACAGGGTCCATAATGATGAGCGATTCAAAGAAGGACAGGATAAAGGTCACCAGCCATTCTTCTGAAATGTCCTTGCCCCACTCCATGCTGTACAACATTATGAAGAAGGCTGATAAGAAGACACAGATGAAAGCAAATACCCAGGAGATGTACACGCAGAAGTGAGGCAGGACACCATCTTGGTCATCAACGATGTCCCTGATGACCATGATTTTTTCAATGGCCTTGGACTGCTTGTAGAACTTGAACTTCCGGAAGCAGTGAGGCATCCACAGTCGGGTTCCATCCTTTGTGGCTTTCTCGCTTAGTTTTGACTTTCTAAACAGGAGCATGATAAAGAACACTGGGATAGCCGTGATGATGGTGGAAATAAAGGAAATGTATATCTGACTCAGACTGAAACTGATGGGGCCAATTGAAAAATCGGATGACTGTTTCCTGTCCTTATTTTCCTTGCTTTGGAAGAACATGGCGTTTGATATCATGGCCAACATGAGCAAAGTGTAGCAGCATCCGACTCTTTGAACACGACTGAAATGACTCTTGACGGGTCGGAGGAGGACAGACACCCACAGGTGATCATCAGTCAGATGGTGACGTGCGTGCTCGAAGAACATGGTCTTGAAATTCTTCATGTTTTCCGTAGAGGACAGTGCCAAAGCCTTGTCTAGCGTTCCTTCTTCCAGGGACATCCATTGGTAGCATAGGAAGTCATACCTGGAGGTGTGAGAGTAACATACTGAATATTTCACATCTTTCGGTAGTCAAACCCTCTTCAATTTCTTTGTCTCATTTTTTGTTAATATTTCGAAAACTTGATTTTAAGGTTCAAAGTGTTATCCTAGCAGAGCAAATGCTGTGTATTTACCCACTAACATTTTGTTAACGCCGCACTCACCAACATTCCAGTTATATGACGGGATGGGTTGTTGAACACCGATTCTAACCCAGATCTTCATAAGGGTATTTTCATTCTAGCCTGGTAGATATATGAATGTAGTTAGTATGCTTACTTATCAGCTGTCTGGAGATCTGTGACCTCAACTCTATTGAGGTACCAGGAAGCAGAGTCTCCTTTGCCCGAGTTGTCATGCCAGACCCTGAAGCACTGCAAGGTTCCAAGACACTGGGGAACGGCCATCAGGAAATGCATGGTGCTGCCCGCTTTCATTTCCTGATAAGTAAATTCCACTGTTAGTTGTGTTTACAAAGTACTACTAGTGGCCACATAACAAGTGATTATTGTCAATGATAATTTCAGGAGATTCTAAACATAATTTTGAACATTGTACATTCACACAATATATTTTACAGATTTGATTTGCAGAGACTGGTAATCTATTCACTTTGCAAACATCTTTTCCCTATTTTTCTTTTGGCGAGTAGAATGTTACGCTGCTTTTAGCAATATTCCAGTGTTATAGATCGATGGGGTTCTTCAACATATTTATAACAATATGTTCTTTGAATTGAATAAAAGGCAATCATTTGACTAGAGAAACATGGGTATAAAGACACATTTGTCTCTTAATAAAATGTCTTTTACATATCATATACTTATACATCTACGGTGATGCAACCTACCTCTCGAACGCCATCAGATAGCATCCTTACGCCAGTGTCCTCATCTTCACCAGCAATACAAAAACCTATTTTGGACTGTGTACCGCCATGCCTGACCATCCCAGTGTGGATGGTTAGGAGGTAGTAGTAGCTATCGCCCTTGTAATTGTCAGCCATAAGTGTCACGCCCCACTGAAATATACATGTCGTTTGCGTTACGGATTTAAGCTTTCATTCATTTCGTAGTCTAGAAAATAACAGTTCTATATCCATGAATCTATGATATGGCTCACGACAGCTTGTAAATAATTGAGTACAATTAAAGGATGATCTAGTTACAACGCCAGAGTGGGGTGGCTGTTATCAGCCATGTCCAAAAGACGGATCACCCGATCTCCATTTTCCTCGGCTCTTACCACAAGCATTCGGAACTGAGGACCTAGTCTGATCCGGAATTCGTGCATGATAGCTAGTGACTAGTCATAGGGCATTTTGTTTCCTAAATGTTGACACCATATTAAATCATCACCATTTATTATAGTCATTGGGTCATAGCGTATCATCGCTGACGTCATTTTGTCTCTGTTAACTTCTAGCCAGGGTGTAATAAACTATATCCATAAGGCTCCATTGCATCGACTATCAGCAGATAAGACTACCATTAGGTTCATGTGTTACCTGAAGAACATCCTGTCCATCCATGTACCGTCCCCAGAACAGGAAGATCACAAACAGCACGAAGCAGACAAGTATTGTGCCGAGGACGGCGCCTTGACCTGCGATGTCGAACTTGCTAAACACCGTTGAGAAGTCGATGGTGTTTGGGGCAACAAAGAAGGAGACGGTGGTGATGACATCCTCCTTGTCACCGCACTTACACATGGTCTTGTTGTTAACAGGGTCTCGTGTAACCTGTTGATAAAACAAACAATAGTTCATCTTGAAAGCTTAGAATCGTCCTATAGGCAGTTTATACATCGTGAAGTTGACAGAGTTAGACATATTCACCATGTAGAAATGCATCTTTAACTTTAAAATGTGCTATATATGAATACTTTATATTTAAAAAATTTAACACGCTTTTTCTACACATACAAACGTAGATCAATAGCAACATTTCCCAATTACTATTTCTGTATTGAAAATACATGAACTGAATACTTACTTTACACACAGACGCATCCCAGTCTTGTTCTCCACCATCCCAGCTAAGACAGGATAGTGTTACGATTCTTAGATTGTAGGGAGTCAGCAGAGGGTCAGTGCTGTTGGCATCTCCACCCTGGTCGGTGACGCTACTGCTTACAGGGGCTCCTGTGTCGTTAGCGCTTGCTGATCTCCTTGCTCGACGATGTCCTTGGTCACTCCCAGAGGCTGCATTAAATGGAAAGTGCATTTTGGCTAAACAACGACAAAGACAAGGACTCCAATAGGTGTCGAGAAACCTACAGATGAAAATCTCAACACCTTAACATAATCATAGACAACTTGTAAAGCTCAAAACTCCTTACAGCAGAGCATGTTCTCAAAGTCTATTACCCTGGTCAGTATGTATTCCAGTTGCCTCAGCTATCCTGTTCTGGGTATTATTGTCTGTACGTATAATCACGAGTACAAATCACACCTACCTTCACATGCAAAGGGTATAATCCCCAGCCAACATGTGCCTGTTCTTTTGCAGCCCCCGGGCGGAGCACAGTACTCTAGGCCGATGTTGCCAGTGACGTTTCTGTCACAGTGGTCGTACTCGAACTCTGTCGGAGGTATGAGGGCTCGGAGACATACGTCATAACACACAGACTCGTTTACTGGCTTGGATGTTATGCAGATTTGTTCACTTGAAGCCCTGTAGAGGAAGGGGTGATACAGCATATACCCTGGATCTCCGGGTGTAAACTTCGGATCGCGGTAGAACACATAGGGAGCTTCTACTGGGTCTGTCTGTGAGACTACTGCACCTTTCAGCTGTATTTTCTTCCCGTTCTTTGTCATGCTAGCCATGGTGACGGGGTATTCCGCCATCTTAGCATTTGGTCCTGTGATGAAGGGGTTCTCTTTGAGAACTACCAGCTGCCAATGAATGGAAAAACACAAATGTAGGTGTGTGATACAAATGAATATATACTAAAAAGATCAACTGACATCATCTTGCGATCAGTTAATGCCAGACCATCGCTTTCTCTGTCAAATATACACATTTATCATATAATGGGTAGGTTTCTCGGCAGGATAAAGCCAACGGATAAAAACGATACCCGTTGGGGTCATATGCGGATAGAGATGCAAATATCAAAGGTCAAGTAGGGACTACTTTCACAGTTTATAAACAAACATGGCGTCGCCCTCGTCATTCGGCGATCGGGTCAGAATTAACCATCAGGAATCTGGATAAACTACAGGGATAATTGCTATCATTATCAAAAGAACAGTCTAATATACTGAAAATCAGTGTCTAACTGTGACGTAGCTAAGGCATTTAATAAGTTTTGGCAACTTTGGAGACATAAATTTCGAAACAATTTCGCGAGGGCACGAGGCCTAGCCAAGCGAGATCAGTAGCCATAGATGTGCTTGTAGACCTCTGCGGCTTGAAACCTACTCCACAAATTAAAATAGTTGGATTTGGCCGAAATATGTTTGAATTGTTACCTTGTTTCGTTTTGTTGCTGCGTGTACATCTAACTACACTTCTTAACGTTATGACAGGATCGACCGACTGTCAACAACGTCTGACCGTGGCCGTGACGTCTCATAGACTAGGGTTAGAGTAGTTTCCCTTTGACACAGGGCAGTTACTCTAGCGGACCGATGGCTTGCCGCGAAAGGCAAATAAAAACAATTGTTGTTTTGCGTATATGTTGCTTCGCCACTGTATAAGAAACAGATTTCGGTTGGAACTATATTGGCTACTGTCATTGTCCGACTGACACATCACTTACCCTGTGACGTAATAAATATTAATGCGCGCATTCCAGGAAAACTCGCAATGTTTCGGTAATGTTTGTGAGAGACGGAAAGCGATTTTGAAGCACAGAATTAAAGAATGACATTATATGATAAAGAGGTTATCACGCTTGTGTGTTTGGGGATGGTAAATATCCTGCCATAGGAATAAACACTATGTATTTAGCTCGCCAAAGCTCGTTAAATACAATATTTATTCCTAATGCAGGATATTTACCATCCCCAAACACACTCGCGAGATAACCTCTATATATTGGCGATATTCATATAAATTCCGGGGGCACGGGGGGCCCAGCCGTATAAGGCGCCGCGATTCGCTGTACAGAGTGCAGCACGCCAGAAACCTATGATTGTGGGTTCGAATCCCGGTTCGCCCCGATTATGTTTCTAGGTTTGTCAGCACCATACCCGTGATCGTGGGTTTCACTTCAGGCTTTCCTCCCACATTAAGCTGACACGCCGCGGTATAACTGGAATACTGTAAAAAGCGGCGTTGAACCCAACTCTCTCACTCACTCATATAAATTCCAAGAGCAGTTGTCAAAAGAGCATTACTCTCTAATTGCACATTGTGTCTAGAATGTTTTGTGATATGAATATAACTGACGGAAGGTGCTGCTGTGTTTTCTTATGTCCATCAGTTGGAAATGCCTGTTTTTTTTATATGCATTACAGCTTACATTGTTCTCAATGATGTCTTCTGGGTCTATCCCAACAACGCTGTCAACAGCCAGGGTAGAACCGTTGACGCCCTTGCTGCTATTTATTATATTATTGGCCGTATCTTTTTGAACAGATTGGATAAATGTTTCCTCTTCCACAACATTCGACGATTGTTCTGTCGTCAGTCCACTGGCCAGTTTGTACATGTTGTTTGCAGCTGACAGAATGCTTTTAATGTTCTGGTTGAGCTATAAGAAAAATATGTTAAATATATTAGACAAGGTTTCGAGAAATTGTCATGTTTCATTTAAAGCTAAATAATGTCCTTGATTTGAATTACGCTATATAGAGGATATTTGCCTATTTCATGTTAAATTACATGATTTTCTCATCATGTGCCCTGAAAAAATTATTACGACTAGAGCAACCACGAGCAAAATTTCAACGTTTTTAGGTCATGAGGTTGGTCAAATAACATGTTTGACCAAACAAAATTATATTTACTTATTATGCATTTTCCCTCTGATCTCACAAACTTATGCATACTGGCATAAAGTGGGATTTTACACTCGATATTTTTGAATTTCCATATGTATATTTTATCTCTAACTACATGCTAAGTAGAGGAATCTGTTTCGTCAATTAACAGTTTTTTTCACGGGTGAGGTTGTCATCTTTTCGGGGCAAGATAAACGCGTTGGCAATGTTCTATTAATTATTATTTCCTTACAGAGCTTTGAAAATAACACCAAACTGTAAATAAGGCACACTGAAGTAGTTCATTTTGGTTTTCTTACTCGAGGAAAATAACATGGTATTCAACTTCAATGAAATATCATCCATGTAGTATTGCATCAGTAACACATAAAGTACTGAACAACCTTGATTCGTATCCTGTAGTATGATTTCCGGGTCGGCGAACCTGTTTACCTGATCGGTGGCCTGTTTCAGTTGGATTTCCTTCTTGCTCTTCAGGAGTTTCTGCAGGTAGTCTGCCTCCACAGGATTGAAGCCTTCATCTTTGTCGGTGCTGTTATCGAACCGGTCAGCTCCGTCCACTTCCACACCAGTTACAGCGAAGTAGTTGTTGCAGTGGATGACGTTGCTGAGCAACGATCCAACAGCTGAAATGAATGGTACAGGACACACGTATATTCGTATTTATTCGTACAGACCTGCCCTTTAAGACATGTCATGTGATCAAATTTACAGCATTCAATGCCTCAGTAAAGCTTTCAAAAAATATTATTTTAGACATGTGGGGGTCATTTCCTAATTTGACACATCAGTGACAAAAATAATGTCCGATGCAATTCCCTTTTGAATTTGTTCCATATATTCACATGTTATTTCAGGTGAGCAATTGGCTTGCCTTTGCACGTGTGTGTGACGGCTGTCGCCAATGAGGGAGAATACGCTAACTTTTTCAAGAACAACTGGTATCATGACCATTTGAAAGTGATTATTTAACACATGCTCTTGATTTAGTTATCGTAAATCAATTCTGCTTCCAGCAGAGATTTCTTATGAAAATTGAAAGGGTTTTGTTCCTTTTTGGTTGGGCTTTTAAATCAGAACCGGGACATTTACCTTAAAAAACTGAAAAACTTACCACCTTGCATTTGCTCCACAGCTACAGTACTTAAGGTTGAATTTGCAACAGCTGCCATGACCGATGCAAGCATGGATAGAGACTCTCCGGCGCTTCCCTGATAACATAGGTTCAGAGATGAAGTCTTTAACTTAACAAAGAGTCAGGAGATGATACGCCAGCAATTGTATCACAGACGCACTTGTAATTATGAAAAAGCCAAAGATCTTAATTGTTTCTTAAAATGTTTCGTCAAATGGGTGCTGGATAGAAACTGTCTAGAACAATTTAATATTCTTCTAGGGTATAAATTTATATACAAATGTGTTAAAGTTCTGCGTTGATTAAATACCATAGCACTACGTCGACAATAGCAATTTCACCATTAAGCACAGACCAGAATACCCGATTTTTCAGGCATCAAATATGTCTGAAGATGTCCTTGTCTTGTAGGGTACGACGGAAAAGTACCCTTTATACAGATGGGTACTGTGGCCGAAATCGTCATACAGACAAGCCATTGCTATGGAAAAACGGATCGAGTCCATTAAACGGTGCGAAACCGGTTTTGGTTTCAAGTGTAACCTACCCAAAGAGATGAGGGGATTACAAAATGTCGACTGCGGTTTCGATAGAAAAGGATTGAATAGTACTTTTGAATTTACAGCGGTTTCGCGAAACGGAAGTCACAAGAGGAAATGCAACTTGGACTAGTCCAGTGGCTCTAGTGCATTTCTGTATGCCAAAGATACTTTCTGATAAACTACATACGATAGTGTCCCCATTCAGGAGTGTTGGTTCAGCGACAACTGTGGCCAAGCTAGATGCAAATGTAATAATTGTGGCTGCACTTGGCGTCTTGCTTGAATTGGCAAGCTGCTGCAGTTCGTTCTCAATGCCATCCCTGAGCGAGGCAACGAATACCTCATTGACCTGTTAAAGAGAGAAAAAGATTAAATGAACGAACTGATATTATCATCAGTCTAACAAGGAATCTAATAGTATGAAAACAGAAAACAAAAAAGTTAGATCCTTGCGACTTCGAATGACTTCACATTGATGGAAAGCTTTGTTGACGTAGTGACCTAAATGTAATACGGTTAAAGGGAATTGATCGTGTTGTTTACTAAAAAGTCATGAATACCATATTTAGGGAATGTTTAAGTAAGAAGGTGATTTTCCAGTGCATATGTTATCAAACTATTTAATAGAAACACTAATCAGTGAGGAATGGTGGTTTTACACCATCCGTAGCATATTTCAGTCATTTCATGACGAGCGGTACAAATAATAGCCTCCACAAAGTATACCCCTGTTGGATATCGCACCCGGTCGAGTCAATGACGGCTACCCCACGGCTCCACATACACCGAAGAAGATATATAATTATAGGGTTTTACCTAGAAACTCTCTACACTCACCCCTTGAATCTTTTCTAACATAGGATTGACCTGTGTTCCTGCCTCAAGTGTTCGGGACAACTCGGCGTCTGCGTTTTCATTGGTGACTTGTGTAACGTCATCAGAACTAACAGTCGGAAACGTCTAGAAACACGAATTGTTTGATAGGCATTTCTTACAAGTTGGTGGATGACAAAGTAGACACAATTTATGGATAACAACTTTTTTATTTTACGGAAATGGCGACGTTTCGGTACAGCTCCTTACACCGTTGTCAAGCAGGGCTGAATCATGAACATGATTCAGAATATATATGGTGGGTGGATGATTAACGGTAACAACAATTGCATTCATGAGAGAGGACCGCCTCCGTGGTCTAGTGGTAGAGCGTCCGCCCGGAGAGCGGAAGGTCCGGGGTTCGATCCCCGGCCGCGTCATATCAAAAGACGTTAAAAGATGGTACTTGTTGTTACCCTGTCTGGCACTCGGCATTAAGGGGTTAAAGCAAGGACTGGTCGGCTCGGAGTCAGTATACTGTGTCTGAGTGGGGTATTCATGTTAAACTGCGGCATGGTATCTCAGTGTGCTAGCACTATAAATCGGCATCAGTCCGGTCTAGTACAAGCAGTCACACACACACACACACACACACACACACACACACACACACGTGCATGCACGTCGCTATGTAAGTTAAACGCGACGTTAAACCCAATTTCACCTCACCTCACCTCATCAGGGAGATTAACACGAGTAGGTTAAATAATGACAACAGAAGGATAATTCAGAGAACACATGATGAGGAAGCCGATTGAACAGGCCATTATTCAGCCTTGCTTGACAACGGTATGAGGATCTATACCGAAACGTCGGAATTACAGTTAAATAAAGAAGTTGTTTTCCATAAAGTGTCTACTTTGTCCAGAAACACAGTAGCGTGATAATAAATTAAAATAGCATAATACAAAAATAACGTACTCATACAGTCACCCCTCCCTCTTCCCCGTTCTCCATCTCTCCATTGTCAATAATTGGTGAAAGGGTGACAGAACACCTGTCACCGTATCGAGTACACGACTTTCATAATGCTGTTTGATAAAAAGAAGAAGTAAAATGCTTTCCATTTGCTGAAACACCACTGCATGTATTCGAATATATCATAAATATCTGAATCACTATCAAATAGTTATGGTACCAAGTGTTCACGAAAAGTAAGCTTAGACACATCTAATATAATGATATACTTACAACGGAGTTTATTGACTGTGCGTATGATGCAATGACAACGGCCGTGTCAAGAGGTGCACCGTTACCCGCTGAAAAGCTAACAGAATCCTCGGCACTCTGCAGGAAGTTATTGAATACCGTTTCTTGCTGTTCTTTCTCTTCCTGTGTTAGATTAGAGCTGGCTGCAGCTGTCCCAAAGGCCGGGACTGGGGGCATGCTGTTCTCGACCTGTGTTCATGAAGGATAAAGAAAATGACGTAGCATCACAGTAGTCAGGTGTTGTGTACTGCCACTGTCCAGGCAAATATCCAATGCAATAATTACAACCAAAACAACCATGCGTTCTGAACCTGGTAATATACTGGCATATATAAATCGTTCTCGTGTTTTCTGTTTCCATTGGAGTTAGAGCCCGTTGTTTAGTGTGTTCCGCTTATCGTTCACACCTACTTAATAGTAAACTCAAAATAGAATTGGCCTGATTTTGTCGACCCAAGAAAAATAACTAAACATAAAGTAGAAAATAACTAAACATATATATATATATATATATATTATTAAGTTGAATGGAAGCTTACTTGATGACCACAATGGTTTATACAAAAGGTTAAAGTGCAGAATGGACGAATAACACTGCACACATTGCAACATGGTGAAATAATTTGTTGATGAAAATACCATAATCTAGATGACGTTTTTATATATTTCTCTAACCATAAGCTACGTAACGGATAGGGAAGGTACATAATTCCTTATAGCAGTAGTTGATAGTTACCCGAAAAGAGACTCGTTTGTTACATAAATAATAATAACAGACTGAGTATATTTTATAAATTATTACTTTTACCGCTTAGTTACAGGCGACTGGCCTTGCAAGCGTAGATTAAGACAAACTGGAGTTTTGTCAAAGATATTTTGAGCCGAGTCGACCAAGTTGCGTGGTTGTATGAGAAGTTCCAATTGGAGCTGCTAATTGAGCAAATAAAAATGCCGATTCGTACAACGTATATATCACATCTACACATTCATGTACACGAATGAGCAGCGGAGTTGGCAGGGAGTAATACAAACTGTCAGATTAAAAAACAAATTGTTTTACTCTACCTTGACAGTCTGGTTGAAGGCAGCCTTGCCTCCAAATGCATCTAAGATGATCATTTCAACAACTGTGTCGAAATTGTTCTGCTCAGTACCGACCTTCAGGTCGACGGCCGAATGTGACACTTTGCGTGTAAAGTCTGCAGTGGAAAGAAGAAGGAAATAATCAATCAAGTGTACAGTCATCGTTCTTACAAGCTTTGTTGGTGTGATACTTGGTTGTCAGGATTTGGTGAAATATGTTTGAAACCCAGATTCTCCTGATTACAACCCTTGGTACATCAGGACGGTAATGGCTCCACAGTTTTGTGAGTGAGTGAGTGAGTGAGTATGGTTTTACGCGGCTTTTAGCAATATTCCAGATATCACGGCGGGGGACACCAGAAATGGACTTCACACATTGTACCCATGTCGGTAATCGAACCCGGGTCTCCGGCGTGACAGGCGAACGCTTTAATCACGAGGCTACCCGACCGTCCCTCCACAGTTTTGTGTCCTGACATGGCGTGTCAGGTTAATGAGGAAGGAGGCCCCAAAGCTAGGTTGGTCAAATACGCCTATAACTTTGGTGAAGCCAATAATCACAGTATGTTGCAGATAGGCCAAGTTTTATAAGGAGATATGGGTAGCTGAGGGTTACAATTTTTCACCGCTGTGACAAACGAGGTCAACGTCTCCTAAAACTTTCCACACTTTATAAGGTTTTCTAATACATTAGACGTCTTCGTGCATCGAGTGGGGGCACGGGTGGCCTAGTCGTCTAAGGCGCAGCGATTCGCTGTGCAGAGTTGCGTCCCTTGGACACACCAGAAACCTATGATTGTGGGTTCGAACTCCGGTTCGCCCCGATTATGTTTATAGGTATGTCAGCACCGTGCTCGTCGGTTTCACCGAAGTGGTAAACGTCTAAGACCTGCATCACTTCGGGTTTTCCTGCCCCATTGAGCTGACACGCCGCGATATAACTGGAATACTGTTAAAAGCGGCGTAAAACCCAACTCTCTCACTCACACTCGTGCATCGAGTAGGTAGCATTCGTTGTATAAGACTACACACACACACCTGTTAAACTTATAAGGTTGCCATCCTGTAATATCTTCAACTTGAGTGGTTCCTGGATGTCAACTGCGTCGTCCTTTTCATTCCGGATACCTTCATCCATCCAGCCGTCACAAAGAACCGAGAATGTAGTGTTCAGAAACACACCTGCATTGACGCAAACAGTCCAGTTATATATATAGCAATTCGAAAACAAGTTGCTGTAAGTCAACTAGACTGTGTTGTTTAGATGTAAATGTTTCAGGCCTGTATCGCTGCATCACAAAAGTGGTTCCCATCGGCACCTTACGTCATTCTTAATTATAATGAGGACGCACACATAGGGCAAATAGTGCTTTGAATGTTTTGCTTGGAAGTGCAAATATATTGTGTGCAGGGTGGCAGGTATACCTAAAAATTATAGAACGCTAATTTGTGTAGTGAGTTATGTGATAGAACACAAATTTGTGTAGTGAGTTATGTGATAGAACGCAAATTTGTGTAGTGAGTTATGTTATAGAACGCAAATTTGTGTAGTGAGTTATGTGATAGAACACAGATTTGTGTAGTGAGTTATGTGATAGAACACAAATTTGTGTAGTGAGTTATGTGATAGAACACAAAGTTGTGTAGTGAGTTATGTGATAGAACGCAAATTTGTGTGGTGAGTTATGTGATAGAACACAAAGTTGTGTGGTGAGTTATGTGATAGAACGCAAATTTGTGTGGTGAGTTATGTGATAGAACACAAAGTTGTGTAGTGAGTTATGTGATAGAACGCAAATTTTTGTGGTGAGTTATGTGATAGAACACAAATTTATGTAGTGAGTTATGTGATAGAACACAAAGTTGTGTGGTGAGTTATGTGATAGAACACAAAGTTGTGTGGTGAGTTATGTGATAGAACGCAAAGTTGTGTGGTGAGTTCAACATGTGATAGATGAGAAAGTTGCGATAGACCACAGACATACCAACACCAATTGTGATTTAGGATTGAGAGACATATCAGTATATATTGTGTTAGGCAGAAATAGCACCACCACCCACTGTGACAAGTGATTGACAGACATACAACCATCCACTGAGGCAAGTGATTCACAGACATACCACTAAGAAAATAAATCACAGATGGGAAATTAGTAAGTTTCTATATTAAGTTACCTGAGGTGGACTCTTACATCCACCCCTTTCGCAATGAAACACACTTCACTTTCATCTAATTACATAGTCTTAAATGTTGCTGGGACACGCAAGTATGGTAATTTAATTACATGATTACGAGTAAAACACGCTGTTTGCTCTGAACTTCACTTCTGAGCACATAATTTGGAAAAGCTGTTTATGATTCATTGCTGTTTTTATTGAATATTAAGCCAACGAACCCCGTCCCTATTTTGTGGTAAATTAATTATGCTAGTTTGTTTTAGCTATTTTAAGTCTCCCTTTAGAAGGCCATGGAACACATTATACATATATACACTGGTCAAGGTCATGGTCTGTGTCAGCAAGTTCTGACTATTAATCCTTACCATGGGTGTCCTCTATCTTTATGTTTCAAGCTGTTTTCGGGGGCACGGGTGGCCCAGTCGTCTAAGGTGCCGCGATTCGCTGTGCAGAGTTGCGTCTCTTAGGCACGCCAGAAACCTGTGATTCTGGGTTCGAATCCCGGTTCGCTCCGATTATTTTTCTGGGTTTGTCAGCTCCATACCCGTGCTCGTGGGTTTCACCAAAGTGGTAAACGTCTGAGAGCTGCATCACCTCGGGATTTCCTCCCACATTAAGCTGACACGCCGCGATATAATTGGAATACTGTTAAAAGCGGCGTTAAACCTGTATACCAGGGACAACGATTACGTGCCTTTCAGACATAGTGTTACTGGCATGTTCCCATTTCCTAAGCTTAAGGAGCTTGTTAATCCTTGTTTGTTAATTTACTATCAAATCAACGTGAACATGCATGAAATAGCACGAAATCTTTCTCAATCAATCATTTCTCAATTCCTTCTGAACCATAATCCGACTATCAAGGAAGAATTTCTTTTATATCAATAGCACGTATTTGAGACAAGTGAAATAAATATCAATAATAATACACAAACACTCAAAGTATTTGGGGTGAAGTTTTCCTTGATCCATAGGGCATTTGTCACGAAACGAGGTGACTATATGTATAAATACCAATAATACTACATAACAACTGTAAGTAATTTGCTTGATTTTTGGCAATTTAAGAAATGTCCAAGTTGAATTCTGTCAAAACATCAGATTTTTCTATGTTGTACCCCATTATCCTGCACGAGTAGCTTACGAGAAAATGTAATTCCTTGATTCAATGGGCATTTGTCACTTAACGAGGTGTACATCTCTACCTTTAAAGGATCACGACATGTCAGAAATAAAAGTAAATGTGATTGGATGTTTACTGAGAAAACAATATGGGGAAATACTGGACTGACGCATCGATAAAATCTATTTGAGCAACATTCAAGGTCTCAGTAAAGGTTCCAGAAAATTGTATAGTAGAAATGTGGGAAAGGCTTTGGACACTTTTATTGTTGATGATATGCTTTTGTTATTCACTATGAAGACTACTTGAATGTCAACTTCCCTTTGTGCACACGAGGGTCACCGACCTTTTGGTCATAAAATATCCCGGTAAAGGTATGACCACGTACCTAAAAAAGACAATGAATAGATTCAAATCTTGTTCTTCGCTCTTGAACACAGACCCATAACAATGGCTTCTCTGAGCGAAGTTCTTCATAATTGCAAAATGCTGTAAATAGCAGGTGTCGCACCATGCAGTTCTGAGCTGTGATCACTGAAACCTTACCTTCTAGTGGTGATATCGTACAGGTGCCGCCTCTTGGTGTTTCATTGGCCACTAAGGTCTTGTATGCCTTGCTCTGTGGTCGCCCCGCTGCCTCTGCTGTAATCTGCAATCTGTAGCTCTCCCCGGCCGTGAAGAAGTTATGATTTAACTCAAACAGCCGATCGGTAGGTTCTGAAACAGGGGACAGAATGACGCAAGGGACGTGATATGCTTTTCTGTCAACACGCCGAAAGACACATCCAGGTGAAGTTTTCCTTGATTCATAGGGCATTTGTCACGAAACGAGGTGACTATATGTATAAATACCAATAATACTACATAACAACTTGAAGCATTTGCTTGATTTTTGGCAATGAAGAGAAAATAACGAAGTTGAATCCTGTCAAAACATTAGATTTTTCAACTTCGACACCATTACCCTGCATGTGTAACTTACGGGAAAATGTAATTCCTTGATTGATGAGGCATTCGTCACTTAACGAGGTGACTATATGTATAGTTGTTACATGTCTAACGATAAAGGTTCACGACATGTCAGACGGACGGACGGACGGACGCGCGCGCGTGCATGCACGCTGCTATGTGAGTGCAATAATCTTGGACGCGGCTTTTTACCTAATTTCAACTCACCTGGTTGGTGTATTTCATTCCTAGTTGTTAGAAGAATTATTCATCATAGTTTCAATATATCAAATGTAACCAAAAAACCCTTGTTAAATCAGGGAATATGTATAATCCCGGAAAATGTTAGGGAGTATGTATATTCCCTGCGTGAATTAGACAAAATATCTATTCCTTGAAAAATGTCAGTGATAATACATTTTCTCTGATTTGACAATATTCCCTGTAACATACATACGATTACAGCCCTTGGGTCATAAATTGTTGTCTGTCAGTTGAAAAGGATAAAGTTATTGTTATGTTCCAAACATACTCAAAACAATGAATTCTTAATAAGTGATTTATAGATTCTTTTACAAGCATATCAGAATACCGAGACACATTCTTTTACAAGCATATCAGAATACCGAGACACATTCTTTTACAAGCATATCAGAATACCGAGACACATTCTTTTACAAGCATATCAGAATACCGAGACACATTCTTTTACAAGCATATCAGAATACCGAGACACATTCTTTTATAAGCATATCAGAATACCGAGACACATTCTTTTACAAGCATATCAGAATACCGAGACACATTCTTTTACAAGCATATCAGAATACCGAGACACATTCTTTTACAAGCATATCAGAATACCGAGACACATTCTTTTACAAGCATATCAGAATACCGAGACACAAAGTCCCTGCTTGCAAATACGGTAGGGGCATTCAGTCGACGCAATCGGTTGATACAGTTAAATTAAACATTTTTAATTCAGTCGATTTGATAACTTGAAGAGTGTGTGTGCGCATTAGTTGAAGTGGGCATGAAGTTTTAGCCTTTATAGATACATGTAATTGAACAGGTGCCGTCTTGTAAAATCCCATACAGGCATCATGTTCATATAATGTTTGAAGTGACGTTACATGCTTGTTACGTCCAGTGCTCACTTCCTGTTACCATGAAAACCTGTCATGACAAATTGTCTACGCGTGTCGACGGCAGTATGTACGGAATGTTACAAGCTGAACGGGCCTGTACACCAAAAATGACACATGTAACCATATTACATTGAACATTGGGGGCACGGGTGGCCCAGTCGTCTAAAGCGCCGCGATTCCCAGTGCAGAGTTGCGTCCCTTGGGCACGCCAGAAACCTATGATTGTAGTTTCGAATCCCAGTTCGCCAAGATTATGTTTTAGGCTTGTCAGCACCATACCCGTGCTCGTGGGTTTCACCGAAGTGGAAAACGTCTGAGACCTGCATCACTTCGGGCTTTCCTTCCACTGAAACAGCTGACACGCCGTGATATAACTGGAATACTGTTAAAAGCGGCGTCAAACCCAACTCACTCACTCACTCACTCACTCACTCACTCACTCACTCACTTACAGTGAACAGTAAAACACCACTCACGCCGAATGAAATTACTGTCCCAGGGAATGTCGGTGAACAGCGAGCTAGCAAAGTCAAATTTGGAGAGGCTCCATCCATACACTGCAGCATCTAGTTGTTCCTTAGTGGCACCATCACATACTATATTGACTTCGAAGGCTGTTGGCTCCTCAGGTGTGACTTTTTCCATGCAATTTTTCAAACACCTGGAAAAAAACGTCCAATATCCATAAATATATAAAAAGAAAAATTTCACAAACGAAGTCTCTACTAAATGCATTGTACGAATCCGATTTAATAATAAGTGTGCAAGAATCACTATCAAATACTGATGATACAAGCCGTTCGCAAAAATGTTAACGTATCCTGCGCTATCGGTGTCACCCGTCACAACACATGTAAAGGCAAGGCAATTGTGCGCCTGAAAAACACGGGTACGTATAGTACAATCAAAAAGGGACTTGCTTTTGGACATCATATTTGTCACTGATAAGATAAGCATCCGATGAAAAAGCTGGTTTGTCCTTGGAAAGATTTTAGACAAAATTAATACATTATCTTCATTTCAGTGTGGGTTCTTAAGATGGCTCATACCTGTAAAATTATATCTTACATGGGAGAATGTGTTATAGTCTGCAGTAAGTCAGCATTGCAGACTACTGTGATATATATATTATTTTAAATAAATCATTTTGGTATTTAGGTTACAACCATTTTTAACAGTCACATAACTTATTTAGTTTTCGATATTGAAAAAATGTGTTTTAAATGTGACGTAGTTATTTGCTGGCGACGACTTACTGCAAATCAATAATGGCGTATACTCACATCATTGCAATTTTGCAGGGTGGCACCTCCGTCACTTGGACCACTTGTATAGTTGTGCAATTACGGGAGTCCTTGCTTATTGTCTGTTCGAATACAAAACACTTTCCAAAATCTAAAGGTGAAGTGTCGACTTCAATGTAGCCTTCATTTTGAAAGTTAAGGCCACAACTCGTTTTACTCTGATAACTTCTGTCGGTACTCTTCGGCAACGTATATACCTGAGCATCATCGCAATTGTCAACCACGTAACACGCCCATGTATAATCCAACCCACTCTCCTGTTTAATTCCATTTAAGGGGTCGTACGAGTTAGTTTTCGCGTCCAAAACAAGTTTTTCTCCTTTGCCAAGCATGGTGAAATCTCCCCCGACGATACTGCACACGAGCGGAGGATTAACAATCTTCATGTACTGTTTGTCTTGCAGATAGTCATTCTCACGCTCTACCAGCTTCATGTAAAGTTGAACCAAGTAGAACCCTTCTTCAATAGTAGAGGTTGCGAGGTTATTGGAAATCATATTTGGTGATTCCATAGGGTAGGGTTCAAAGTTTTGCGTGACCGGATCTTGCTTCTGGAACGTCCACTGAAAGTCGAACTCTGTTGTGTTCTTGCATTTGTCAGAGAGTTTTACACGAGCTGTAAGGGTAGGAAGGGCTGACCTGTAGACCCTCATGGGTGTATCAATCCGTCTGTGTATCGACTCAAATATGTCTGGAGCTAAGAAGCAATCACTTGAAACTTCAAAAGTAGCATTCAATTTTTTGGAGGTCAGTGGATTTGAACAAATGACGATTATCGTTTCCTCCTGGATGGCCATGTACATGTTCCCAACTGCTGTTGCAATATTATTTGGAGACGGCTGGAGATCAACTCCAGTCATAAGTTCACCAGTAGTTGAGTCATATGTTATGTTGCAGGTCATATTCATCAAAAAGTTACTTCCGCTGTAGATTATGTTCGGTTCAATTGTCACCCCAAGAAGAATTGGTTCTGGGATCTCAAGCTCAAGGTTGTCCACAGGATACATGAGGTAAAGCTCCTTTTCCAATGATGCGCCATCATTACCTAAGCTGGTAGTGGCAGTGTATGAAGGCTTCTTGGAACCGTGTGTAGCAAAGGTATGAGTTACAGTGATAGACTGACCACCAGTCAGAGTCTGATCCTCAGTATTTCCATCTTTCCAGTCTATTGTGACCGTTATTTGTTCTGCAGCCAGGTGATTCGAAAGTGTGAAACTGAATGACTGTGATCCCACCAGACCCATGAGTGTTGACCCAACCAATTTGAGGGAACAGGTTCCCAAAGAATAAGCTACAGCATTAGCTTGTGACACACCATTATAAACAACAGTCAGATCTCCGGTGAAAGCTCCCCGTTTGCAGCGGCTTGCAGACACAACATATGTGGAGAGGCTAGTTTCTGCTGACACCCCATTGCCGTCGCCGTAGTCCACTTTGTACGTGACATTATTGGGCACTGCTGATAAATTATGAAAGGAAAGTGTGATATCAAAGTTAGTGCATGTTCCTTCAGGCAAGGGTGTAACAGGTTCAAAAGTGACAGAAAAGTCTGCTGCCCGCACAATCACCACGTCAACAGTCCCGCTAAAGCTGACATTGCTAACACGATTCTCACAATCTACCTGGTAGTTCACAGTTCCCTCTGCGGTGGTGTAGTCGTGTGCTATGGCGTAGCCCGTTGAACTTGAACTGAAATCCATTTCAGTGAGTTGGTTAGTCACAGGTGTCCCATCACCCAGATTCCATGTACATGTGACATTAGTTGGGTTGTCAGTTGTTGTTCCTGATTGTGTCACAAATGAAAAGGTTGTTGTGTCATCCGGTGTCACTATTTTTCGGTTTGGTACGATCACTAAGTTGCATGGAGGGATCCCATATTCAACAGCAAGAACTACAGATGAGGATACAGAGTAGCACTGGTTATATGCATAAAGGCTAACCGTGTATGTTCCTGGAGTGCTGTACGCCTGCGCTGGGATTGCAGTGAAGGTATTCAAACTGTCCAACACTGAATCTGCCTCATTTGAGTGGACGGTCGTACTATCACCCATATCAACTCTATATTTGAAGCCTGACATGGGTAAAGTGTTCATGGTGACAGTCACCGAGTCTCCAACAGCCCATGAAGTCTTGTCCACACTTATAGTTATTGCCAAGTTGTCACATACAACAGCTTCAACTGTAAAGTTTTCTGAAGAAACGCGAGATGCCACTGTAACATCAATAGAGTAGTTACCTTGTTTTGTGAAGTTGCAATTGAAATTATTAGTAGCACCAGCAGAGACAGGCAATAAATCTGTTGAGTCCGCGTCACCACAAGGAGAGATTGTCACTGAAAGATTTCCCATCGGGACGTTTGGCGATGAAGCAAGAGCGACGTTGATTTCCAAGTTCTCATGGGATTGGATTGAGGGTGCCGTCACGGTGACTGTGTAGCCATTAATTGGGTATACAACGCTAATTTCAAGAGAGGTACTCTTGTTGTTGACCCTGTTTGATGCCATGACTTCAACAGTGTAAATTGCAGCAGCTGTAAAATTGTGTTCAGCAACCAGCCCTGAGCACCCACTTTGAACTACCATTGCTTCTGTGAAATCAACAGCCCAAAAGATGTCCAAGCCTGTTGCATTAACGGTTAAGGTGAAACTTTCGCCTGTCAACAGCTCCAGTGCGCTTGGTTCGGCTGTAAGATTACTTACTCCTATACTTAGTTCGAAAGTGAGATCAAGAACAACAATGTACATCTCGTTCCAGAATGTAGCATGAAAAGTGCAGTTCCCAGTCTCGGTGTAGATGATGCTGCTCAGATCCACAGGTTTAGACAAGTAAGTGCTGCCATAACTGGATGCGTCAGTATTTGTGAGTATGTTATTCTGGCATGCATCAATATTCCACTGAATTCCATAATTGGGAACATTTTCAATATTAAATGGTACGACTTCATTGATAGGTTGTACGTCTTTATCCAGAGTAACAGTTATGTTTAGTATGTCCCAGCAATAGATCTCGTACGTTTCTTGGATAGAGTCCAGTTCTGTACTCACATTGACGGTGACGGTTTTGTTGGTTTGAGTGTCGCAAACACACGGAATAGCTACCTCGCCACCAGCGGTAAGACCACTGAGATCAAGAACTTCTTGAGTTTCGCCAGCTGTACAGGTGTGCCATCCTGTAAGGTTACCCATCGGTAACTGTGCTCCACTCGCCATCGTCACCTTGATGCCTGGGTCCTCGGTAGTTTGTGGTTTGTTATTACCTATAGCTATTGCTACATTGTTCATATTATGGATAATAGTCACCACAACAACCTCACTCAATTTGCTCCCGTAGTTGGACACCATCGTGGTGACGACGTGACTGCCGGTATCGTTGAACATCTGACTGTAGGTGGCGGTACGTGTATTCCCATCACAGGACTTCATAAGTTGGATGTTGGTGACACAGTCCACGGTGAACAGTGCATTGGTACCCTGGTTGACTGCCATGTCAAATGTGATCTGCGTGTATGGAGGCGCAATGACTTGACTGGTGGTGACGGAGTAGCCTACCAATGTCTCCTCATACACCGCCACCATGGTTTCCGTGTGCGAGTTTCCTCCTTGTGTCACGGTCATGGTGACAGTGTACATTCCAGGTGTGTTTCCAAAGGCCGTACAAGGCATTGTTACACTCGAAGAGGGTTGCGTAACTGCCTCCGTCACGATATCAGATCCGTCTTTGGTTATTGTGAAGGTTCCTCCTCCAGTGGTAGTTACGGTTACCATAGCACAGCATGCACAGCCGGTGCTTGTGAGGAAAAAGTAGCCATCAGTATCCCCGGTGATGTCTGCACCCGACAAAGCTGCATCAACTCCTGAAAGGAAAAAGAAGCATATGTTACCTCTTCTGTAACATGAAGATTATAATACACCTAAATTACGTTGTTTCTAGTTGGAATATTTCATTTCATTTGTGGGTTTTTTAATCACAAAAGTGACTGAAATAAACCGACAAAAAAAGTAATAAATTTTGTGGCTTTTTACTTCATTCTAAAGTGGTGGCTGCAGCCAACAGTCTGATTGTGATTGGTATTTAAACATGGAGAATTTCACCCGTGTCTCTTTTGATATCAAAACACAGAGGGCAAACGGTCAATATGAGTATAGGAAATGTAATACAATATCACAGCATGAAAACCCTTTCCATCATAAGAAATATCTGCCAAAAGTTGAGTCCATGGTGATATTCCGACTATAGCATAATGTTGTATTCATGAATCATTATTAAATAGAGATGACACGAGGTTAAATCATGACGTAACTCTTATTAATCTGGTAAGCTGTTGTAATTATCAAAGCGAAATGAAAACCCGCAATATCCACAGATAATCCGGTATTAAATGCAGAGATATTTTTGGACTGAAAGATATTATTAAAAATGATCATGTGAATGATCACTCAAAAAGTATTACTTTCATGCTTGAAAGTCAACGATGTCCTATGGTGACATTTCAATAAAATTCTTCATGAACTTCATATACCGAAAATTGATCTGTAAAAATTAATCATTTCCTATATTTACTCTCGAAAGGGAGGTAAGTATGGAATTCCCTCCTTTTCATTAACATGTTTAAGTTCTAAACGTGTTAAGGTTTTAGTGCTGTAAGTGCTGTACCGTTAAGGTTATAAGCAGTCCCAACACCTTTACTGTTAAATATGTCCAACATGTGCTTTATACTTATACACACTATATACACTCTAAAACATCAACACCAGATAATAATCAGTCTTGATTATCCAACGAAACAATCCATTGGGCGTAAAATGCAAAATTGCTGGGACAATTATTCGAATGGATCACTGAAAATCAGAGATAACACCAGGTCGCCGAAATGATAACAATTAATTAACAAAATAATTATGTATCTTTTTCCTCGGCCATAAGAAGTTGCCAACAAGACTAATATAATGAATTTGACCAATTTGAAATTAGCATAATATAAATATCAAAATCAGTATGGGCAACCTTTCGGAGACCTTTTTGATTTGGGAATAATATTCAGGTCAAATTAATTATTGTTCCACGAGCTGCAACTAAACCGTATGCTAATAACTATAATGAAAGAACTTTTAATTATCGAATAAAAGAATATGTCAGGGTCGCTGACTTGGTTGCTCAATGGCATCGTATTGATGCTCATGATATCACTGAATTGTCTGTTCCAGACTCAGTTATTTACAGACCGCCTTCATTGCTGAGTTCAGCGTTAAATAAAAAAACCAATACATATATAACCCCCTGTGCAAATATATATTGTCAATGCAAGAGAATAACCAGCCGAGATTTTCTGCCGAAACAGATTCCACTTGTCGTAAAGGGCATATAGCTGTGGACATTATATGAGTGGACCACTAAACATCAGTGATGACACCTGGGCCCACTTGCACAAAGCGATCTTAGCGCTAAGATGATCGTAACTCCCATACTTTAACATAGGCTTACAATAGTCTTAGCGCTAAGATCGCTTTGTGCAAGTGGACCCAGGTAAGCATGTCCTGCTCTACCTGTAGCACCCGCCATTCGTACAATTTGCATAAAATGTAAGTATTTATTGCCTGACGCAGCACAGCAGTACTCCTGTCAAAAACGTTTATGTCTCTAAAACATAACACCAAAACACATCCTATAGTTTGCACGTGACGCAGGCAACAGCAACAAACGTGTGTGTAGGGTGTCATTCCTGATTTGGACACAACAAGAAAGGTCCATTAATCTCTGTGGACCATTATTTCACTAAATCTTACTGATATTGCTTTTTATACAGTTCTGAATTACTTGATTTCGTTCATTTAAAGGGCGACATGCGGTGTCTGCAACGCGCGGAACGTCTAGGTGATACTGGCATGCTGGAAACTGGCAGAAGTCAGCGTGCAGTGGCCAAAACTTTCAGTTTTCACTGTTTATGGTTTGCATAAACCCAAAATATTGACGATCGATCCCGTGCAGGGTGTCCCAGACCAACGACAAGATTTACAGGTTCGACTGATCCGAAACCAGGCCCAACGAAATCGAGCTCAAACGGCGAATCAAATTGTTGCAAAATTGCATCAGGCAACTGGAGAGCTGGATTACAAGATCTGAGCTAAAGTCAAGATTCAGCTCATCTCCTCATCTTAGGCGTGGTCGAAACGAACGTAAAGCCAATGTGACGTTGGCTGAACATAGCCAGCCACCCCACCCCCCTCTCTCTCTCTCTCTCTCTCTCTCTCTATTCTCTCTCTCTCTCTCTCTCTCTCTCCCCCCCCCCCCCCCCCCCTCTCTCTCTCTCTCTCTCTCTCTCTCTCTCTCCCTCTCCCTCTCTCTTTTAAACAATCTATCATTCCTTTCAGGTTTACCGGCCAAACATCGTGTGTGTAGTCAGGTTACTTCGACGCGTTCTATCGATGAGATAAGTAATAGGAAGACAATCCATAAAATCGACAACCCGTTGTTTTGAATTCAATGTATTGGAGTAGGAATCGATTATTGACATGAGGCTGATCCGGAGAGCCGAACTTTTATTGTCATACTGCAAAGAAGCATCAATATTTCATATCAGCAGGAAACCACACTGGAACGTTCGTGTGTCCATGGAGATGCGAAAAGACAAGAGCCCGGATGTTGCGACCAGGTAGACAATCGATACGACCTTCGATGTCGACATTCTAAGTAACTTCACAACTGCTGCAGTGTCACACTTCAGAACACTTTCCTGCTTCACTTGAACATTTTAACATTAATGTATGTGTAGATCCTGAATTTGTATTTAAACATTTTTCTTCACGCATTTCTTCAGTGTTTCTCTGTCCTTGTAAGTAGCCGAATATCTGCTCTTTTACCAAGCCGGCGTAATGTATAATTAACGCATCGCTTTTAGTTTTAAAACATCAGTTAGGGCGCTATTGTGTCACTGGATTGTCTGATCATCTGTCACAGGATTGTCTGGCCCACTATCACTTGATTGTTTGGTCAAGACTCGCTAGTTTAAAGTCCGCTGTACTGACAGGTGTTTTGTTGTGCGACTTCAGGCAACAAACACTTGCTTTTTATCTTGTGCGAGTGGCGGGTACTATCTTGAGAGCAGGACACGCTTATCTCCTGATGTCATCACTGATTTTCAATTGTCTATTGAGAAAGGTTTAACCAATATTTGGCCTCTAACGCCCTGTTGATTCTGTTTCGGAAGATAATCAAGACTCTTTATTCTCTGGCCTCGACATTACATGAACATTTTTACTTTACCCGGACAAAAGTGACGGAAATATGCGAACAAGACTGGATCGGGGACAGTGACAATTCAGGTATTATGAACGAAGAGAATATACATTGAAATATCAAAAGCATTGTCCTTCAAAACATAGTTCAAAGTACCAATACTAGGTTTCGAAACGATTTATTTCTCAGTAACCCTGCAGATCTTCACGCATTGTTTTAAAAGTTTGATCGTTGGTCAAGTCACAATGTGTTCCTTATTGAAGGCTCGTTTTAATGTTTGCGTGATGAATAAAGTTATACATGTCCCAAAAGCAGCTGAAAAGGACGACCGAACACATACTGAGGTAAACAATAAAACAAGGAAAGTTCTGGTGATAAAGTATTTCTTTTACCTTGAAATCCAAGCAAGAGAAGACCCAAAAATCCGCAAAGCGAAACATAAGGCGCCATGATGGGATTGGCCGCCAAATTTATCTACATTATCTTCCAGCGGCACAGTAAGAGGTGCACACGTAAGGCTATGTCCGTGACAACTGCTTCACATCGATCTCATTCTACTGACGTCTTCTACTGGCTACATACACTGCCGCACAACTCTAAAACTCTTAATTACTATTTGCGCATGCGTGGTATTCATCGATCTTACCTACGTAGGATGTTCAAGACAGGTTTTTAAAGTTGTAGTTATGTGGAATAAGGACTATTTCGGAGTTCAATAATCGCAGAACTTCATGACAGGAACTACCATGAAATTTAACTCTTGTTACAGTAGCAAATCCAAACTGTTCACAATGACAACTGAGAGAACACTCCACGAGCTGTAGGGATAATGGGGTAATTAAATTAACATTTTCGGTACGAATCCTTCTACAATGATCTGGAAGAGTATTGGATTCAAGCCAAACAAAAACACACCTGTGAACAAAACAGATGGTTTATGGTGGCCTAACGGCGTGTAATGCTCGATCATATTAGTAATTTGTTGATCTCATGTTAGAGCTAAAGCAAATGTCTAATGGACAGTCATCATGTACAGTGTCATTCTTATCATTGTTACCATTGTTATTAGAATCAGGCATCAGGTATTGTCACACTGGGTCGAAAACGGAATACTAAGTAGACTGGTCCTTCATAATGGACAGCCAATAAGGGTTGTTTGTTTGTTACATTCTGTCAAATTCAGATTGCCTGGATTTCTGTCGTTACGATAATGTAATCTAGAAATATAATATATTTGGATCAAATCCATGAAGGTTGGAGTTTCACATTCTTAATTGTGCGCATGAAAAACTGAACGAAATGGATTTCGTTAATACTGACAAATTATACAACGTCTACTGTCTGAATCCGCCTACACCAAGCATACAGTGGACCTTTCCTTTTCTGTCATATTTAGATCTATGCATAAAAATTCAGAGTGACAAAACACTCTCCACAAGACTGTATGACAAGAGGGATGACTTCACCTTCCCAATAGTCACCTTTCCCTTCATGTCGAGCAATATTCCAGCAGCTCCAGCCTTTGATGGTTACATTTCACAACTTTTGAGATACAATCGGGCATGCTCTTTCTACCAAGATTTCAAAGAGCGCCATACGACTTTTGCTCCGAAGTTGTTTGATCAAGGTTACAACATTCAGGGCTTCAGTAAAGCTTTCAAAGTTTTATGGTAGACATTTGGCGGACATTTCAAAATTTGATCCATCAGTGACAAAAATGATTTCCGATGCAATCCCCTATTGTGACTTGTACCATATGTTCCCGTGTTTTTTTCAGGTAAACAATTGACTTGCCTTTGCATGTGTTTGTGACGGATGCCACCGATTGGGCAGGGTACGCTTACCTTTTTGCGAACACTTAGTATCTTTACATTTGATAGTGATTCATAAACACATGCCCATGATATTTATCGCTTTACTTCACTGTATGCATCATCCAATCGGTGACTTCACATAAGCTCATACAACATGTCTATTCTAAGGCTGAAAGTAACATAAGAACTAATTACACACTGTTAAGTGACGTCAATATTACGTCATACATTTAGGGCAGTGGTAAGATGTTCAAAGGTTTGTTGTTCAAAAATGAAGAATTATCGCGATTGACGTGGAAACATCTACCTCCTCTGACTACAGGGGGCACGGGTGGCACACTCATCTAAGGCACCGCGATTAGCCGTGCACGCCAGGAACCTATGATTGTGGGTTTGAATCCCGGTTCGCCCCGATTGTTTTTTCTAGGTTTGTCAGCACCATACCCGTGCTCGTGGGTTTCACCGAAGTGGTAAACGTCTGAGATGAGACCTTCATTACTTTGGGCTTCCCTCCCACATTAAGCTGACACGCCGTGATATAACTGGAATACTGTTAAAAGCGGCGTTAAACCCAACCCACTCATTCACTCTTTCCTCTGACTACACAATAACAATAAACTGTAGTTAACAATATTAACTAGCTCTGCACTTCTAGTTACATAAATACCACTACTACTCCAGATGACATCCTAGCTTCGTCAGCTTTTCTTAAGAGGTTGCCCGCGCCTGACCGTTATACTCCCGATCTGAAGACTCGAACCCCCGTACGTGAGTACAGCGTCTTATGGCCTCTACAGAAACACCGTTCAATCAAGAAAACCACATGACGTATGACCGATACTACTCTAAGGATTGATAAGCATGACTGTTCACATGAAGTTATTGTGAAACAGGTTTAAAGGATACCCATGTGGTGCCCGTTTGGCGTCTATCCAGTTGTATTCCTTTGTTGTCTACATTATAAACATGCACATTGATTCTGGTCCATTTGTTTTACCATCTCTTTCAAGGATTCTATATAGTTGATAGACAATCGTCAATCGATCTACTAATAAATTGTTGTTTCGCCCCTTGGGTCTTAAGCATCCTCTATTTTTCCTCGCTGCTTTTGACGTCTTGTTTATGGCGTTTCCAGGCAATGGCAAGACACATACTGCTAAACACGAGCATACTGCGTTCACCTCCGTTTATGTATTGTCTGTTTCTAAAGAAATCGAAAGTTTTTTTCTCAGATAATGTTTATTTTAATGAACCATCTCATGGCGCTTAATGACACCAGATAGAACTGTCCAGATAATATATATTCTAAAACTCCAATCGTTTCGGGAAGGTGGGGTAACTAAGTGGTTAAAATGCTGGTTCGTCACCGAGGATCTGTTCGATACCCCTTATTTCAGCAATGTGACACGCTCATTACTGGTGACTTCTTCGGTGATTTGGCCAGAATATGGCTAAACTCACTATCTCACGTCTTAATGGTTGTTGTGGTATATATATTTCTTACACACCGGTGGGTGAGAAGCCCATTTGAGATAGCCGCCTTTTAACATATGTCCGAGATCGAATTCCAGGCCCGTAATTGGCTACTCCATGGTGATGACCTGAGGTCAGATTATGACGAACTACTTTCCATATCATAAGTCATTGATGGTTACTTGTGCTTCAGTCGAATGTTCACCTACGTCTGTGATGACCGTTATGAGTGTAAACCTCCTGGGCGCCATAGGGACATATATGACCCTCCTCTTCAAACCTCACTTCCAAGTCGAATAAAATTTCATCACGAACACAAATACGCTTTACCGTTTTCAATGTTGTGGGAAATTCCCTGTTCTGTGATATCACCCAGTCATTTTAGGCAAAATATAATTACTGAAAATGACCTCTGAAAATTAGGCACTACGGAAATCTCGCCATTTTTGATACATTACTAAATCACCATTCGCGGCGTTATTTACTATATGTTTAGAAATCGGAAACATCATATGAGTGATCACAGGTATCTTTCATCAAATCACCAATGATAATTCTGAAAAGTCGCCGATAAGCCTAGAATCATTTAGAATGTTTTGGAAAATACGCAAAAACGAACGCCAAAGTGCACTTTCCCACATATTTGGGACGTCTATTATGTTCCGTATGTTTTAATTTCAGCTGTGATACATCCCTGAATTCCTCATACATTTAAGATTCAAATGAAAAATTATCTTTGTCACCAATACGAATTATCTGGATGAAATCAAGTGAAATAAAATAGGTTTGGCAACGAACGCTGTGTTCGGGAAACTGTACTTGTCTGACATGTAATCTGACAAAGCGAAATTCAGATTTGTACACTGTGTAGTATTTTCTCCAAGTTTGAGAGATCCATTCCTCTTATTGTTGCATTGGCTCATGTGTTTGAGAATAATACCTCAATCAACGAAAGCCCTCCTCCGGAAAACCAGCGTACTCTTGTCAGTGAACACGCCATTTTGTAAAAGCCGATCACCGGTAGTGATGTCATTCGGAAGTAAACATTATTGTACATATTTGGTCATTTCTGTGAGATGAACATTATTAACTCGGCATCCGGTGGGTCAATACGTGTTCTTTGATCTTATCTGGTTTGCATTATCATCATCGCCTTGATAATCCACAGAACTTTTTTGTGTAGGGTCACATTATTTATTAGTAATAAGCAGTACGTCGGGTAGCGTCACTTTTGTCCGTTGTGTTATGTATTAATGCGCCACTGCGATCATGAGAATAGACAAAATGCATCGATTTGATGCTAAAAAGTGCGATTTTGGGGTGTGTAAGAAACAGATTACTGCACTCGTGCCTTTCCGATACCCTTTTTCAAACAACTCGTTGTAAGAAAATGGTATCTGACAGACACTCGTGTATTAATCTCTATTTTTTCATTGGACATGGACCCGTGAAGATCCGGGGTAAAATGAGTCCATAGCAACCCATGCTTGTCGTGAAAGGAGACTATGCTTGTCATAAGAGGCGACTAACGATGATCGGGTGGTCAGGCTCGCTGACATGGTTGATGCAAGTCATCGTATCCCAACTGCGCGGATCGATGCTCATGATATCAATCACTGGATTGTCTGGTCCAGACTCGATTATTTACAGACCGCCGCCATATAGCTGGAATAATGCTGAGTGCTGCGTTAAACAATAAACAAACAAACAAAAAAATCACTGGACATGACATACGTATCGAGCAGTTTGTGCCCTTAAAATTACCTGTTGATGTGTGCGACATGAGCCATGACAAACATGCCTTAGCACGTCAATGGTGCGCTCCCAGTGAATGCCGCAATGTACGATTTACTAAAACCATGACAAATTACGTACTATGGAAAACGTTCCTGGAATAACAACTTCCGGAATAATAGGTCTAATGTATAACTGGTGGAAATGGGAATTTCCCTACAAATGTTTTGTTAATCGAATCTTTTATATAAATTCCATTCACTAAAAGCTTTTTGTGCTTTCAGACGAGTCGGCGTGTGTCAAGCTTCAAGAAATTAATGAAAACAATCCATGAGCAGGAAATGCAGAATAAGTATACTTTAACAACATGGGGATACTTCCATACCCGTAGCACCAACACATGAAACGAACTAGATTTAATCAAATAACATCGACAATGTCTATAGTTGTAAGAAATTATAACAAATATATACGATTCCAACTGTACATGTGCTTATGAATCACTATCAAATAGTGATGACATCTTGCGTTTGCGAAAGGGGTGAGTGTAT